TAGACGACGATAATGGTCATTTTGTGACGGGGCCTTGTCCCATTCACATTCGGCTCTCACTCTTAAGTATGTTAGTTTATTTGCCTACAAATCAGCCGAGATATGTCTTATTGTTGCAAGCTTTTCCATTTATTATCAGTAACTACAGTCTTAATGTAATAAGAATATCATGTGACTACTATTGTGCGAGTCTATCACGCACGAACATGCATACATAAAAATACAAATCACATACAACGCCAAGCATTCATTGGTTAATTAATCTCCACTACGTTATTATAGACAATTTACAAATCGCAGCACTGCGACAATTTTGTAATCGCTCTATTTTCATGTAGTCAGTTTTGTGCACTTTTGGTCTATGCCAACCAATCAGATCGTCTGCACGTGAAGAATAATTCTTCCCGCGCAGCAATCTGAAGCCTATAGTCACTTATTTAAGCAAGAATTTTTCTTAGCTAATTATGAGAATTCAGCTGCCAAACGTGCGTCAACCTTCTCACTCACACACCCCACTCACATGCTGAACATACTTTGTATATACTCACATAATCTTTTCTAACGTGGCAAATCTTTTAAGAACAGTCATTATAAGAGACTCTCATGAACATTCTTCCAGTGAACTTTGAAATACTAAAATAACAGTAAAGAGAGACAACTCTTGTTTATTTCAACCTTTTCTTACTTAAATGCATGCTTTCTTGCACATCGATATTTGATATTGTACATTTTGTTAAATACATATTTTATGTGAAACAATGTCTTTGGCTTATCCTTTTCTGCGTCAGCCCTGTTTCCTAAAGTTAAATTAATGTAGTGAAGTCCGCCACACTACAAATTCATGCATAATTTTAAATGATTTAAAATTTTAAATTATTCTAATTAAAAATTTTTCAAAAATGAAAACAATTCTTGTAAAAATTCATTATTTATTGAAAAAAAAAGTTTTTTCTTAAAACAGTAGTGCCCATAATATATTTTATACATAAAAGTAATTAAAAGTTTTTCTAATTAAATAATGTTTTATTATTATTAATAATATTATTATTTTAAGATTCAGAGCAGATTTTCTGTAACTATAGGGCTCCTGTTAGATCAAAATTTTTAATTATTTAAATTATCCGATGACTTGTCCTTACAACTAATATAAACATTTAAACGCTACAAAAATTCATAAAATTATTAAGTAAGTGGGGGTTAACAGATGTTACGGGGATTTTCTAAAAAAAAAAACAAACAAAAAAAGAAACGTTTCTAAAATAATTTCATTCATTTGTGAATAAGTACTGAAAGGTTCATTAGAATCTGACAATTATCTGACTTTGTAAGAATTTACAAATCCGTGTATTTTTCACCGCAAAAAATCACTTTCCTATAGAAATTTATGGTTACTCGCTGATGTAAGAAAAATATTTTTTTTTACCAAAATTTCGAAGGTTCTAAAAAGAATCAAAAATATAATTTAATAATAAAAAAAAATCTCCTTTCATCATGTCGAATTTCATCTGTCATCTATTCTTTTGTCTATTCTCCTTTCGGATAATTGGTTGCTGAAGCAATGTGTCCCACTTCAAGTTTCCATTCTAATTATGTCCATTGTATCTGCTTTTAACACTGTCCATATATTTCTCCTTCACATTTGTGTCATTCCAGAGTCTGTCATTGCAATTTTGGTGCTACATTGGCCCTTTTCAATTTCCATAGTTTCACTGTAAGTTTAAATATCGCTCGAAGATGCTCGCTCCCGAAATCGGCACTTGGGTATATGTTGCAGTATCACAATGCATTCTTGAATCTCTTATTGACGATTTGATTTTCGTTTTTCCTCCGAGGTTTCTCCATATCTATATACGTCTTAAGTATTCTTGAAACTAGGTGTTGGATTATTACTTGATCATTCGCCGTGCACCATAGGTCTCATTTTTCTCCGTTTATTACGAAACTATAGTCCGAATTTGCCAACTATTTCACCATCTCTCTCCTTGCCTTTGGCATTCAGGTCTCTCATGACGAGTGTACTTTTTTTTATATTTGCGTTGCCCCCTGGCGTTGTCTAGCATACAGAAAACTTTTCAATTTCCTTTTCTGTACTTTGTGCTGTCAGTGCGTATACAACTATAATGGATATATTGAAAGACTTTCCTCTCTGTTTAACGACAAGAATTCTTTCAGCTAGTTGATGGTATTCCAGAACAGATTTCTTCGTGTCTTGATCTAATATCAGTCTTACTCCTCTTTCATTTTTCTCTCTGCCTACATATATGATCTTGTGTTTATCACTAATGAAATCTCCATTGTTTGACCAACTCCTTTGACCTGTTCATTTCCTACTTTATATTTTTCTAACTGGCCACATTGATATAGTAATTGGCCAAATTATTTGAGTAAAAAGAAAAGGTGCTAATAACAAATCCAAAAATAAAATTTGAATGCCTGTTATATATGTTTTTGTTTTTTTTAATCATTTATGGAAATTCACACGTGACTGAGTTTTTACAAAAAAGCAAACTTTTGATGAATAAAGAAAAAAAATCAACGTGATTCATTTTTTTTATTTACTGTAAACAAATAGCTTCCCCAATTATATTTTTATCATGAAAGTTTTGTTTTAAAAACTTTACCTTAATAATTAACTGATTTTTTACAAGAAAGAATATACTCATGATGGTTGAAATTATGCTCTAAATCAGAATAGTTAAAACTACATAAGTAAAATATTGCTTTGTTTAGCAACTTTTTAATTTAATTTCTTTAATAATATTGGAGCCATTATTGTGTAAACAAAAATATGTTGAAATCTATTTTCTATTGACTTTCAAAATTTAAAAATGTTTCAAAATCATTGTTTTATTTTTATATAATTTAATTTTTGGTTCGTTCAATAAATAATAAAGCTATATTAATTAATAAAGGAGAAATAAAGGAATCCCTTATTCATCCGCTGTAATTTTAACAGATTAAGAAGAAAATGTCTATGTCGATTTTATGGAGGCTAATCAGCATGACAGTTTGTTGACAGATTCAATATGTAATTAAAATACAACTCCTATTTCGCATTGCCATCCGTTGATACAAGAAAAACAAAATTTTTAACCAAAATTTCGTAGGTTCTAAAAAGCAGTAAAAACAAAAATCATTTAAGAGTAAAAAAGAAATCCTTTTGTCTTTCCTCTTAATAATAACAAATATTTTGACGATGAGACTTTTTTATTATGTTTGGAGCATTTTACCATCATGTATGCTAATTTTTTAGCAAATCTTTGGACGTACCCAGACTAATAAATACAATATTGAAGCCTTGAAGATAAGGATAATTACATTCCGTGATCTGCCCTTCCTCTCCCGAAATGTGATTGGAGAATTTTGTTGTCAAAAGCAGGTGCCCAAAACTTTTTAGACCATCGACCTTTTCAGAGCAGACTTGATCCTTCGACACACCCAGGTATGTGCAATAAATAAACAAAAATCTTTTTTTTTTATTATTTAAGGGTTAGATATACCTTTGCAGATTTCATTTATTATTGTTTTTCAATATGATCCAGTTTAGTTTGTGGCAAAGTGTGTTTACCTCAGAAGATTACCAGTGTGGATAGGTAGTAGGATAATTATTTTTATCTGAAACTTTGGAATAAAACAAACTGCTTAATGGTTTAAAATAAATAATATATTTTTATTTATTTTCTTTAGAGCGATGAGCGAGTCCTTTGGTATTCGGTGTAGCAAAAAGTTCATTAATAAGGTGGGTATTAGTAGGACTTTGGAGAAATGACCGTTTCAGTAATTTGGAGTTAGACTATGATAGGGATTAGTAGTAATCTCAGAAATTAGGTAAATGTCAATATACTGCGTTTTTCTCGGCCTTGAGCAAGGTGGAAATATCAGGAGCAAATGACCTCTTAACTGCTTCTTCACGCATAGCTGGTTTCTATATGGTAGCGTTCTTTTGTTCCGTTCTCTCTTTGTCCCATCTACCTCTAGCCCAGAGGTGTCAGGTTTTATATCCTTTCAACCAGGTTCAAGAATTTGGTGCAAACATTGATCTCGGCTAACATCAAAAGTCTCTTTGTGTCAATTTTTTGATTTGCCAAAATTATTTTATTTTCTGGCGTTCTTTTCTTTTTCATTATTTTATCATGGAGGTTATACGTGGAGCCTTCCTGATTCTGGGTATTTTTCAGTAACTCCTCGAACTTTCGTTGTTTTCGGCCGGGTTGAGTCTTTTCTTCTTCTTCCTCATTTTATTTGAGGGTTGCCTTCTCGTTAGGAGAGAGAGAGAGAGAGAGATAAGAGTTGAAAACGAAAGCGCAAATGCCTTATTTTAATTTGAATTATTTTATTTTTTATATATTTTATTTTTATCGAGAGTCACTACAAGCTTTACATTTTGTTATTCCTTTTTCAATTTCTATCTCTCTTCCTATACGAGACGTATTTGCTAGAATAATAATAATGAAAAAAATTCATAAATAATATAGGTAATAATAATAACATATTGATTAAAAATAATATACTTTTTTTATTTAATTGGTTGACATTATTAATGAGAAGGGCGTATGTGGTGAGCAGCAGTGAAAGTGTTAATATTTCATGTGTCTCTATAAGTGAATGAAAGTTCTGATATATTTGTATAATAAAACAACCCTCTATTTGGTTAGAAACTGGTGAGTTTTAGTCTTAAGTCACCATGGTATATTTATCACAATCATCTGGTCCCCCAGACATTTGTCGAAGGTTTGGCTAATTCTATCAAGCCCCATGGATCAATCAATATCGACCACTTTGGGGATCTCTGGTTAGAGACCTACGCTTGTGCTTCGGATTTCGTTCAACCTTGTCTTGGCAGTAATGACACCTTCACAAGAGTTTCTTTTTATCTGCAGAAGTGAGATTGGGGAGGGGTGGAGGAAAAACGTATATAAAGAGACAAATAGTTATTTAACTCTATAGATTCAACGTATTTAAGGTGCTGTTGCTGTTGTTTCCGACATAATGTGTTGTAGCAAGAAAGGTACTTCCACCCTTGGTCCCTTCCTGTAACACCCACCCCGTCACTCTATCACTTTCCTATGCCTCAGTGAATCGTATTTCTCCCCCACCCTCTGCTGCTTTTTCTTCTTTTCTCATTATTACAGGTAGGATCACAAAGATACGCCCCCCCCATTCCCACTTCCTTTTTTTTTTTTGCTTTGTAGGCCTCCCCCCTCATTCTTTAAAAACAAACGTCCTGCTCAGTGTTATCAATAACCCTTTTTTTTTCTCTCGCTCGTTCTCTCTCACACCTCGCTACGTGCGTCTGAATAGACTCTTTCGGGGTCAGTGTTTATATCCGGAATTAGCTTTGTTCCCCTATAACTCCCCCACCCATACTTTCTCTTTTTTTTACTTATTTATTTTTATTATTTCTATTTTTTTTAATCACAAACCTTCCAACAGATATATATACGTAAGTTGTCCGTAGTATACATACACAGTTAAACATAAGGGACTTGCTGGTTGAATTTCACCCTCATAGGTAAGTCTCTTTTTTTTTTACGAGATATAATTACTTTTGTCACTGTTGCTGAAACAGGACATGTCATGTTGTTACATTTTTTTTTTTATTTTATTTACCTTTTTTTTTTTTTTTTAATTTTTTTTTTTTTTATAGATAAATATGAAACACCTTTTTTATTTCAATGAACCTTGTGGTCTCGTGTTTTATTTACATTTTTATCTATTCATTCATAAAATATCCTCTTCCTCCACCCCCCCAAAGGAAGAAAAAAAAAACCAAAAACAAAGAAAACTCTTATTTTTCCAGCGTTAAACGCAAACCAATTAAAGTTACCAGAGAATTTATCTGCGTTAGTTTGGAAAACAAGTTTGTCCCAGAACAAGATAGTTGAGTATGCCTGAGTAGCCTGTTCTCAAACACTGGTAAAAACCAGAGTTGTCTCAGTCGGAAGATTGACACTACACAATCTTCCTATCTTTATTTTTTTTTTATCCTTATCATTGTACCGTATTAGTAAAGATTTTCAGAAGTAAGGTATTAAGCGGCCACTCTAGCACACATTTTTATTTTAACTTTTATGAACTCATTGTCAACCATTATTATTAATTTTGACTTTTTTAAAATCTTTAAAATTTTGACAGTTAAATTATAAATAGTATTCAAAATTAGTGAATGATAGTACGTGTGTTTTTGTGATGTTCTGCAATATTGTATTTTATCACAATAAAATGGGTGATACATTCGTCAATTAATAGAAGAAAAGAAGAAAGGCTTGTGATAATTAATCTTGCTTAAAGTAGGTTGCTCAATGAACCGTTATGACACAAGGTCATTTTGATGTGGGGTACTGTACATAAAGGCCAAAAATATAAATTGCCCAGTTATTACAAACCAGTCATGTTAACCAACCTCCCTTCTGTTTTAGTGCAGTGAGGGAGGTTCTGCTGCAGTGTGTAGAATCCAAGGGATCAGGTTTCCCCTCATAATCTTCAGAGGAAAAGTGAACAGATACCTCACTTTGATCTCAGGCCAAGAAAAGGAAGTCTGAACCAGCATCCTTAGCAGATTTTAACAGAAGCATTAAAGTCAAGAACATGAAAAAAAGAAAAGAAAACACATTAGTTGTTCAAACAAAACTCTTCCAATAAATGGTAAATTCTGTAGTAGTGGTTCACAAGATAAGCTCGTCTAGCAGACATTGCACGTGTAGAAAGTTTGTTCTTCATTGAGTGCTCCAATTAAAGGCTTGTGTCAGACTAGGTAATAAATTTATTAAATACCAATGATTGTTTTTCATTCGTATCTCTTTGACTGTGTAAACACGGCAATAACTGAGGTTGATTTTTCCGATTTCTTTGAATATGAGAATTTCATTTTTTTTTTTTTTTTTTTTTATAGTTGTTTCTTTTTCTTCCCTTTTCTTTTCGATCAAGTCTAGTATTGTGGTCCACACTGAACATTTTTATCTTTTCAATACCTTCATTTACATCTTTGCGTTTTGCTATTTAATACAGCAATTGCTTATTTGTTATTACATTTGTATAATGTGGGTCCCTTCTGGGATGTTGGTAAGTTTACAAGTTTGTATGTGCTCTCGTTATGAAGCTGTTTCAAAAGTAGATACCTCCTACTTTTAGGTACCATCATGGCCTTGCTAAAAATAAAAGAAGACATCTAAATTATTTAGAATGCATTTTTATTTTATCATTTTTAAAATGGTCACTCATTGAACCACCATTATTCACAAAAAATGAAAATAAATTTTTAAATCTCTTAAAAGTTCCATATTTGTCCAAGAGATGTGTTTCAAAGTAAATTAGGATTAATTAACTTAATTTTGTAAAAGTAATGCTAAACTTTTTATTAAGATCAGCAAATAAATGTCTATTTATGTACGGTAGCTTGTGAGCTGTCATGAAAGTTATAGGTTAAAAATAGTAGTCTTTTACTGTCACACCTAACTTTTAAAAAGTGTGCACAAAATATAAGTAGGACTATTACTATCTAGAACTTGGTATTGCTTGTTTTAAAATTTATCTTAACCATATATAGCTATAGTTTAAAAATATCAGGTCATCCCATAAGTTCTGTCCAAGTTTTGAATAAAGAAAACAAGTGACCAAATGTTACATTTAATTAGAGATTCAATCAACAATGTATCTTCCCTGATTATCTATGACTTCCTTCCATCTATTAACAAGCTTACTAATTCCATTACTGTAAAATTCTTTTGGCTTTGATTCAAAGAACTCACAAATGTCAGTTTTAACCTCTTCCTGTGTTACAAAAGCTGTTTCTTCCAAATGATTCTGTAAGTTACGAAACAAATGGTAGTCTGAAGGAGCAAGATCAGGAGAATAAGGTAGATGAGGAATTTTCTCTGAACCAAGTTCTTCGATCTTTTGTGACGTGATTCTTGCTGTGTGGGATCACGCATTGTCCTGATGAAACATCACCCCTTTTCAATTCACTAGAGCAGGTCTTTTTTTCCTCAAAGCTTGGTTCAAATGCTCTAATTGCTGACAGTATATTTGAGCATTAATTGTTACATTAAGTGGTAAGAATTCAAAGTGGATTATTCCTTGGCGATCCCACCAGATTGAAAGAAGAACCTTTTGCCCATGAATTTTCCTTCTTGGCTGTGGCTGGGATCCTTCCCCTTTACCAAGCCACTGTCTATGACGCTTAACATTTCGATAAAAGATCCAGTCACAAGTTTATCCAAAAAAGGTGAAACAAGTTGGCGAGAATAGAGAGAAGAGCAGATGTCAACTCTGGATTTGAGGTTGTTTTCAGACAATTCATGAGGCACCCATTTTCCAAGTTTAGGAACTTTTCCAAGTTGTTGAAGATGACGATGAACAGTTGTATGGTTTGAACTGAGAACCACTGCCAATTCCTCAACTGATAAAGCAGGATTTTCTTCAAGAGCTGCTTCAAGAAGCTTTTCATCAAACTCAACTGGATGTCTGGTTCGATCATCATCTTCAAGGGTGAAATCTCCACCTCTGAATTTTGCAAACCATCTTCTGCAAGTTCTTTCATTCACACATTCCTCTCCATAAATTGAATGAATGTTTCTAGCCGCTTTGGCTGCTGAGTTTCCTTTCTTGAACTCATAAAGCATTATGTGCCTCAAATGATTCTTGGGTACTTCCATGTTAGCAGGGTTTTAAACAAAATTTAATTTTATTGTTCTCTGAAATAAAATTTGATAAGTTTAAATGCATCTAAACAGAAATAATGTTCAGCTCCATTAGACATTATAAAATACTTTTTAAGTTTCGTTCATTTTAACAAAAAGTTAAAATTCGGACAGAACTTATGGGATGACCTGATATTTTTTTTTTATTCTATAGGCTTTTATTAGTAGAAGTAATAATTTTATTTTTATACTGCAATAAGAGAATGAAAAAGTAATTAATTCAAAACTAGTTAAATGATACTTTTGCATTTAATTTATTGTTTTTATTATAATTTTGATGTCAAAAAATATTTAATTATCTCCATGAGGGTTTTTAAATTATTCTGATTTAAAAACTTATTAAACTAAAGAATATACTAAAAAGAGGGAAAAATTAATAAAGATTTATTAAATTAATATGGTTACTTGATTGCAATCACATAATTATTGAATTATTTCTTTTTTGAACTTCTGTACAAAAATAATCTAACAGTTGAAAAAAATTAAAAAAGTCTTTTCAAAAATGTTCACACTTAAATATAGCATTTAAACCCTTTTTGATTTTTCAAAATTCGTTTTTTATTAAAGATGAATTTGAAAATCACACTCAAAAAGGACAAGTACTTTTTTTAATCTGGAATATAAAAATTTTTTTCCCCTGTCAATTCTGACAAAAAAATCTCAACAAAATATGATTGTTTTAAATTGAATTATTCTGTTATGGTTTGAGATGAATTTTCAACATCTTCACAGTTGATATTACATTTTTTTTTTTTTTTTTTTTTTGTTACTGAAATAACATCTTCAAAGATTTTTCTTTTAACTGTAAAAGAAAAACACCCTCAAAGATATATTGAAACTCTGGTTGAAATTAACCACCATAAAAACAATTCCACAATGTTTTCTAAAATAATGACCTCTTCAATATGAAATTAATTCATTAAATAAATACTGTACAGTTCATTTAAATCAGATAATTCCTTGATATTTAGTAAATTTTAAAAAAATTGGGAGTAGTGTTGTTGTTGCTAATAAATGTGCAAACATTTTGGTGACCCTACTTTTATCTGTGAGCAACAAGTGCATGTTTCTGTGACATCCTATAAAGTTCTGCTTGGACCATACTTCTTGACTTGGACCTGGTTTTCTCCTGTAATATCAATTTAATTACATAAAAAGATTATTCAAGATAAGATTCTATTTTCAATAAAAGTTAACTACATCCTTCCAGATATCTGTCCATGTGTATTTTTTTTTTTTTTTTTTTTTTTTTGGTAAAGAAAATGAATCCAGTTTTTTACGTCATCATATTAACTTTGGTAAATAAATAAAATTAAACCTGAAAATTTAATGAGATTCTGTTTGAGATTTATATTTATTAGCCTTGTGCTATGCTAAACCAAGTTTAAGTGTGGGGTGGGAAAGAGGAAGAGTGAAAATGTTATTTTGCATTAACTTTCAACAAGAGGGTGTGCTTTAAAAATGTTCATTTGAAACTCTGGGCTCAAATTCTAACACTGATGCCGAAATATACAACTATCTCAGCCACAATGTGAATTTAAATAAGGTTGATATTCATTGAAATGTTGTTGTCTCTTCTCTTCAAGATTTCATTCACTGACCTTCATCAGATGCAATTTTTGTTTGTCGTCCTTTAGTTGAGTTGATTTGCAAAAGGTAACAGATGGTTCTGAGAGATCCCAGACAGGAAAATGATGGAAATTAGGTAGGAGGAGCATCAGTAATGAAGAATGAAGTTATGATAAAAATTAATTGAATTATATTAGCCTTAATTCTGTGAATGTTTGCATTAATTCCTGCTTTACTGACTGTCCTTTTGCTTCTTGATTTTTCAATGCAGTTTTATAGTAAAATCATTAGCAATACATTTAAAGTTAACATAAATGAAAGGGTGCCAAAAAGGTCTTACTCTTAGCAAAATCCACTTTGGAAATCTGGTCAAATGAACCAACATTAAAAAAAACAAAAAAACAATTTAAAGGCATATGGTTTGATTGAGAACTTTATTAAATAAGATAAGTGATTTTGATTGAAGATCTTGAAGATTAACAGATGTGACATACACATGTGAAAGGTTATAGAGTACAGTGGCCAAAGTAACAAAGATGAGCATTGCTCCTCCTCTCCCCAAATAATTTCTGAAATAATAAATTTAGTTTGATGGCATGTGTGGTGATGTCATTTGACATGAAGCAGTGACAGCTGTTTATTTGCAAACAAAAAATGATCAAATTTACATTTTAAAAGATTGTTTGCTTTGTAATATCATATTATTATTATTATAATGTATCAGATTATTCAATTTTTGAAGACCAGATAAAAAACACTGTTCAAATGTAACAAATGTTAAATTTTTGTCAAGAACACAATCATTACAAGCAAGGAGGCAAATAATCGTATTCATTTTTTAAAGAAACTTGCATTGTGGATAAAAAAAACTATGCTCCACCTACATTAAGGGGTGAGTAACCAGTAGGATAGATTTTTACCTATTAAGTAGAATAACTGTAGCAGATTTTTACAGTGAAAAGAGAATATTCATGTAGAAAATAAAACCTGTATCAATGGAATGTATGTTCTTCTTCATTAACGTCTTCAAATTTCCAATCAGTGGAATACTTTCTTTGTAGCAAAAATCTGGAACAGATTAACTCTGTATTACCAGAAGTCATTCTGTTCAAAAACCTAGATATTTTGAACAATGTGGTTTGAAAAAAAAATGAATTGGAGTGAAGATCATGTACTTACCAACTCAGAGAGGGAAACTGATACGTGTGGCCTTGAGTTTTGGTTCCTTTCTTTTCAACTTATCAGTAGTAGAACTGTTAGAATTTTGACTACTTTGACCAATTCAACCAGATATAATTCCTGGATTTCTGTGCCTTTTTCTCTTAGTACTTTCACATTATTCTTCTTCCTCTTTTCTCCTATAGCAATCTGCTTCTGCTTGGTAATCCAAAAACGAAAAAAAAAAAAAAATCCCTCACACTATCTGGAGGGATTCATATACAGGGTTTTTTTTTTTTCTCCTTACAATGCCTTTAAAGCTGTCCATAAAAAAACACTCAGCACTAGGTAAGTAAAACTGCTCCCTCTTTTCATTCATTCAAACCACACATAAGAAATCAAAGAATTAATTTAACAATGAGCTTTTGCGATTGCTGATCAGTATCAATAATGTAGGGTAGCTTGGTCTATCTGGGTGGCAGCCAATTTGGACTGTTCAAGAGACACATAGTCTAGCAGATTGGATTTTTGGTTGCAAACTGTTTTCTTGGCAGTTGAGTTCAACCATAGGGCCAAGTAGTGTGGAAAAAACAAAAAAAAAAAAAAAAAAAAACAAAAAAAAAAAAAAAAAACAAAAAAAAAACAAAAAAAACAAAAAAAAAAAAACAAAAAAAAAACAAAAAAAACAAAAAAAAAAAAAAACAAAAAAAAAAAAAAAAAAAAAAAAAAAAACAAACTCTGGTACAGTGGAAGAAACAGAAGTGATCCAAAACCAAATTGACAAAAGAAATTTACTGATACACAATGTCCCCCTAAGCATGGAAAGGAAAATGGGAATAGTTTACTCCTGTTAATTGAATAAAGGTTTTGGTTTAAAATTGTGATAAGTTTAATGAATACGACATGTACAAGATACAACTGAAACTCTGTGAATATAACAAACAATATGAGCATGTTAGTCTGAATAAAAGTGGGGGGTATAATAAAAATAATAATTCCTCATTTAAGAAATTCCAAATGGATGCTCATGGTTAACACCAGATAAAATACTAACTAAATTACATTTACCAGCAACAAGTATAACTCTTGGTTTCTCGTGAAAATATGCAAAATGATTTTGTTAGCAAAGAAGGAAGATTAAATTGCTGTTTTTAGTATATGTAAATGTTTGATGTTATTTTAGTGAACTTGTTAGCTGTTTGATGACAAAGGAATTTTTTGCATGGGATTTTGACATTCTGTTCTAATTGGCTTATTTAACAGTAAAAAAAATCACATTTCTCTCTTAAAAGTTTCCAAGTCAGTATGTAATATGAATTTTCAAACTTTGAATTCTGTAGTGAACTACCGCAGAGGGCAAAGAGGCCCAGGGTTGCATGCATTTTTTGCAATGCTAGAATAAAATAACTTGACTTCAGGCATCCTTGTTTACAGTCATTAGCAAAGTGGTTGGGACCAGAGCACTTGAAACAAACTTAGTGGTGTTGCCACCGATTTACCAATCATAGAGTGGATTGAGAACAATTTACTGCTGTGTCCAACAGACTATACATGAACAGTAGAGTGTTTGAGAGGAAACTGATTGCGGGCATTGTTAGCAAGGAAAGAAACAAAAAAGTTTAAAGCTTTTTTTAACTACAAATTCAAGTCCGGTTTCCATATACTAATTGTTGCTACTGCTGTATAATCATACAAAGGAGTCCTATATTGTTGGGTCAAATGTGGGCTCTGGAATGTTTGGATGACCAATCCTTCAAATAAACAAAAATCTGCCATGTTTGAGATTGGTCTTCAGGAGGTTCCAACTAAATTCTTGGGTGAGCAATCTGTATGCCTTTTCTTATTAGTGTTTGAAAATTGATTAACTGAAAAAACCTCTAAAAAGATGACTACTAAAACTGCAAAAATTTGACAATTATCTTAGCTGTTCATTACAAAATGTTTTCTGGTTTAAGAACTTGCTTTTTTATGGATGCTCTATCAGAAGTCATTTCAACCCCAGGTCACACCCGATCTTCAAACAAGGATTATTTTTCTAATTTACAATCTTTTTGATGGAAGACATGTTTTAATATTCCAGAACACCTTGAAAAAGACAGTCATTTTCTTTGCTCCATCAGTAAATAGTATAATGTAGTTAATTATTTCAATGCTATTTGATGCTGGCCACCTTCATTTTCAGATTGACCAATCCAAACTTTGTATTCCAAACAAAGCTAAGGATACTATTCCAAATATTTAATGCAATAATGATAAAAGCACATCTCAGTATTTGGAAATATGAACATGAATAAGAATTATTCAGTTAAATGAAATCACTACTCCCACCCATAAATATTTCCCCAAATTAGGTGAAGAGTCAGGCCTTCACAATGAGATCATTTGGTCAGTGTATAAAAATGTATGGCCTGTTTAATGAACAGGATTGGAATTGTACAAGAGACAGCAAAGCTATCAAATTATCATTTTCTTTCTTTTCATTTTCTTTCTTTTCATTTTTTTCTTCTCTCTCTCTTTTTTTTCTTCTCTCTCTCTTCATTTTTTTTCTTCTCTCTCTCTTCATTTTTTTTCTTCTCTCTCTCTCTTCTTTCTTGTTCATTTTCTGTCTTTTTTCTTCTGTCATTTTGTCTTTTTTCTTTCATTAAAGAAGAGATTGTTATTTCAATATGGTCGATGTATTCAGTTGCCTCATTAGTTATTTTTTGTCAGGTACACCTTATATACTTTAAAGAAACACACCCAATAGCTCCATTTTGTTCCTGTTTGGGCCTCTGGTTCTTAACCAACAATCTATAGGAATTTGATTTTTTAAAAAAATTAATGAATCTCATTGATTCTGACTTTTTGTATCAGACGAGTTAAGAAAGAAATGGACTGCTGTCTTTATCAACAATTTGCTCATAAATTCTTATGGTACTCAGAAAAAAAAAGGAAAGGCTCAAAATTAAATACTAGACTTTATTCCATTCCCTGAGAAAAGGAAACTTATTTATCTATTTACACAAATACAGACCTGTGCAATTAAATATGAAAGAGAATAGATTGTATAAAATATTAACAATATTTGCTGTGAATCTACAAACTTTCATGTTGTTTAAAAAGTGTGAATGCTAGTGCACCACAATCTTTCTACTCAGTAGAGTAGTCACAATTTTTATACACTTTTAAATTTATATGCAAACACTTTTTTTAAAAATACAATGGTTTACTGATAATAGTGTCTCTATCTCGTTTGTTATAGTCACAGTGTTTTAGTTATTATACCTGCCAGCTTTCTTCAGATGTCTGCCATGGTTATCTATCATTCTTTCTAAGAATTTCAAAACAAATGCTTTATTCAGGCCACAGGGTACATTATTGGTAAAGGAAATCTCATATTTTTTATCAAAGTAAGTCAAATCAAGTTTGGCTGAATGGTTGGGTAACGTGGATGAAGTTTCAGAGGAAGAAAGGGCAAATAAGTTTACTTATATCATTTTCTTATTTAATTTTATTTTGTTTATTTTGCACTTGACTTTATTTAAGTGTAATCATCTTTTGCTTACCTAAACAGTCTGACCAAAATTTGGACTTATTTGTATGCATATCTTACCATATTTCATGTACATTGTTTATTTTTTTCACAAAAAGGTTCAAATAATGTTAGTTCCTTGCTCGATTTTATTTCGATAGAGAATATTTGAACTTAATATAAGTTAAAACTTAATAGATACTACCATACTATCAGTTCTCTAATTCCACCATAACTCATTTGAAGCTAATCCTACACTTAACCATAACACTCTTACTCTGATCTTTTATTAGTACTTACTATGAGGCTCCATGTTATTATCATTGTTATTATTATTATTATTATTATTATTATGCTTAATTGTTGTATTCAGACTTCTTACTGCCATGTATCTATTGTTATTGAACAGGATTAGAGGTTTATCCCTTGTTTCTTGTTTAGGATTTGGCTTCCGGTTCCTTCTAAAGTCTACTTCAACTCCATACTTCTAGCATCTCTGCCTGAAACTCTGAACTTTTATTTACTATTTATTTACTTGTTTTTACTCAACAGGAGTAGATCAGTTTGCCTATTACCCAGTTCACACTCCCCCTTGGTCTTTTGAACAAAAGTAGAGGTTTATTCCTTGTTTCCTGTTTAGGATTGAGTTTCTGGTTCCTTCTAAAGTATTTCCCTTCTCTTTCACTTCCGGCACATCCTTGTGTCTTGGTGGCATTATCACCTTGCTTAGGATGGTGCCACTTACTCTGTAACCGTCTACCTCGAGTGGCTCTTGGGCCTTGAACAGGATGAACATTCTTGTATAAAAAGAAAAGTAATAAATGATCAACTTCTTTGGAAAATTGTGACCAATAATCTTAATCTAATGCATTTAGAAAGAAAATAATTTTTGGAATATGAGTCATCTAAAAAACTGTATTTGCGCTTCATCAGCAAATAAGACAATTTTACAATATAGAAGATATACATTTGTACTAAAAATGACTGTGATGGTTACGTATGTTAAGGTATAATAATTAACAAAGAATATAACGAGGTACTCATTTATGTGGGTACATTTGTAATAATGCATTCTTCCTGCCTGTTGATGTATCCTGTTAGATCTGAAGAAACATTAGATTATGACTGAACCTGTATCCATTGAGGAAAAGTGTCATGTTTTCTCTACAGTGCCAAATCAGTAGAACACTCAACAGATAAATTGGAAAACAGTGAGCTGTTAGTTAAAAGGTGATGTTGAACCAGATTATGAAATAGGGTGTAGTTGAGGTAGCACAAGCAGTTCCAGACAGGCCTAGGGGTAAATCATTTAAAATTTTGCTTCCCCTAAAAGTGATTGAGCTTCTGAAACCTGGGCAATTTAATAAGTTGTAAACTCTCTAATGAAGAGGAATGGCAGAGAATGAATGTTATAAATAGGCCAGGTAAAGCAACAGAAAGAAACAAATTTAGGAGGCTGGGAATGTTGTTATAGCCGGACTTTGAAGATGTTTGTCTCAAAATGGAAGACAAACAATACAGAACTGACATTTGATATTGAAGGTATTAGTATATAGAATTTGTGAATTCAAAGAAATAAAGGAATTGGTTGGATTGGAAATAAAATATTTGAATAAGTTCTTGATAATTATCAGCTAAGAATGCATTAAAAATGGGTCTGTACAAATAATCACATGGAAAATAGTTCTTAGGTAAAATTAGCAAAAGGTTTTCAAGATAGTGAAACAGACAGCATTAGAAGTTATTCCTCTCCATATTCCAGGGAATGTTTTACAGTTACCATTGGAATATCTTCAACTCAAAGGATTTTATAAATCAATGGATGTTTAAAACTATTCCTGCCAGGAGATCTATTTCATAGACAAATTTACTTGTCTTTTTTCAGAGACCAATGTATCACAAGGTGATCTTTAAGAGCTGTCCCTGTCTGTACATGGATGTCTTTCATATTTAATGGTCAGAGAAGAATTAATATAAAGATGAAAGTAGTGTCATCAAAGTATGATCATTTCTACACAATATTTTAACCATAAATTTCATGGTATTTTCACTGCTAATGTTAATAAATTCTGTTTTGTTGAGGCAGAAATTTATCATCCCACTTTGACTGATCAGTTTCATAAAGTTTTCTAAAATTGAAACAGAAAAATTAACCAAATTTAAATATATTGGCTTGAACATAAAAAAATGTCTGAGCGAATATACTACTTTGGCAAGATAGAGATGTTCAAAATCAGGTTTCTGTCTCATTTGGAACTTACTAAAGTGTTCCCAATAAAATATAGCAAAAATGAAGTTACAAAAATCAGAAAATTGACTGGTCAGATAAATTAGTTGGCAACTCAATTTCTAGGAAAGTTGGTTCTCTGTATTGTACTAAACAATCTTTCTTGCCAGAATCTATTTTTCATATTTATAAGTCTACCATTCATCCTTGCTTTGAATATTGCTGCCACATATGGTGTGGTGTTTCTGCTATGTATTTAGAAATTCTTGTGTCTTTTTTTTATAAATACTTTCATGGTAATTGTTCTGACGAGCTTTGCACTATGGTCTCATTATTTTACAGTTGAAATGGCTAAATGTAACTGTAAGTTCTATGCTAACTTTCTTTTCTCACTTGTGGAACACTCTTCCAGCTTCTTGCTTTCCACTCAACTTTGATCTTCAAAAATTTAAATGCAATGTCAATTGTTATCTTCTGTCTTAATTCCTGTTCTTTTACTGTTCTCTTGCCTTAATAATTTTTTTTATATTCTAAGATGCAAGGGGTTACTGAGTATGAACTCAATAACCCCTTGCATCTTAGAATATAAAATAAAATGCAAGGGGTTACTGAGTATTAACTCAGTAACCCTTTGCATCTTAGAATATAAAAAAAATTATTAAGGCAAGAGAACAGTAAAAGAACAGGAATTAAGACAGAAGATAACAATTGACATTGCATTTAAATTGCATCTTAGTGACTTTATTGCCTTCCTTGGAGTGAAATGCTTAAAAAAAAAAAAAATTAGATCAAGATCTGAGCTATGAGATTAGTGAACTAAGTTCTACATTGAAGTGGAAAAGTTGATTACATTTAGCAAGTCATTGAATAGGTTAGGATAAAAATCTTCGATAGTCATTCCTGTTTTGGTTGACCTTGAAAAAGTAAAGATGATTGCTTACAGTAATGCCTCATTAACTAACAAATCACAAAGAGGAGAATTATTATTTTTGTTTGGTGATAATATTAAGTACATGGCTGTGTCATGGCAGCCTAATATGCATTGTTATTGAAATTGTCCCGAGAGAGAGATGTTAAATAAGACTGAAATAATGGAAATAAAGTGGGTATTAACAGATTAAGAGATTGCAGATTCTTGAAAGCAATGAGCTTCTGTATTTGAAATTCTTAAATACATGTCTAAACCAACAAATCTTTGCTACAGTCAAAATAAAAATATCTCGCATTCATTAGTTTCAAATGATATAAAGAAACTAAAAAAGAGGAAGAGGTGTCAAGATGAGTTATGGTCCTTGACCAAAAGATCTTTGGTTGTCTGCTTAATGGAAATTCAGAGTACAAGGCATAAATTGTCATCTAAATTACGCAAAAATGAAAATAACACTGACATCTCATTTTAACCAAAATTACACAAAAATCTCTTGAAATACTAAAGAATTAAAAATACTAAATTTGCCATTGGCTTCAACCACAACTTCCAGACAACTTTGGAATCTCCTGCAACTCTTCTGGACAGTTTCTTTGTTTAAGTTGGTGAATGCTGCCATAATTCTTGCCTTCAGTTCGTCTTTGGTGCTTCAAAGAGTTTTGTTGATCTCTTGCTCAACTGCACCCCACACATAATAATCAAAGGGGTTGCAGTCTGGGTAGTTAGGTGTCCAGATGTAAGGAATGATATGGTCACAGAAATTGTCTGATAGCTATGACTGGGTACTCTTGCTTGTGTGGCATGATGCAGAGTTCTCTTTCCAGACATAGGGTCTTCTAGCAGGCACCCTCTTGACCCAGGGTAGCACTACCTCTTTAAGGCACTTATTGAGTCTGAGGCTCTGTGGGAATATGAATGGAGGCATAA